TTTGTTGTTTGTGTACATTGTGTTATGGGGCATCAGTGATGCCAGCGAGGAGAACCTTTACATTTCAAGTACTGGATTAGGTGGTGTGTACTTTTCATCATTTTTGCAAAAAAACCATTTGCTTTAATCCCAACCCCACAAATATCTCATGCTGCTGCTTACTGTGATCCCAGTTGTCCAGCTTTGTGAGACTTCCTTTGTCTGCTGGAACCTAAGATACATATCAGGCAAGTCCATCTTCTCTCCAACTTCCAAACTGACTTCCTGCTTGAGAGATTTGGATGGCTTTACTACAGCAATTTATTGATCCCAGGACAGAATAATTGGTGTCATATAAGAATGGAATATAATGAAATTCAAAACCTTAAATTATATCAGCACCTTCTTTTGGTTTTGGTTTATTTTTTTTTTATCCATAAGCTAACTAACCACTGTCTTAAGGCAGTGGTGTCTGTAAATTACTGGTTTTGTTTGACTTTAGATATATGTGAAAACTAGCACAGAATTGGAAATTACTGTAAATGTCTGTACTAGTATTGTAGGTTTTAATTTCTATAAAAAGAAACCATTAGCTCTTTAAAAGCTTATTTTTTCACAAGTACATTCTGTGTGGAAGACACTTTGCATTGTAATATTTTTACTGTAGTCTAACATCTGAAATCACTTGCTCTGGTACAGCTTTCACACTGCATGGTCATTTTATTGTATTTTGGTATTGGCAAATTTACACATTGGGTGGAGGTAAAGCAGCTCCATTTATGGGACTTACAAAAAGAGGGGAAAAAGAGAAAAATGAAAAAAGAAATGAACTACTGTTGTAGTTCAGTAGCATAGGGAAATATTTGTGGTTGGTCACTGTCAGGGTCTCCTATTTATCAGTACTTTTATAAATCTATGAAAATTGTTAAATTATTTTAGAAACAGTGCTGTAAATATGTCACATTTAAATTGTCAATAAATCAGTTTGGGTAACTTAAAATAACATCTGGTTCAGTTTCTTTGCACCGTGACAAGTATTTAATCAGAGCAATACATTCTTTTTCAGCATGTAAGGGATCAGATTCTCCTTCATCCACCCATAGCATCTCTAATTCTTCAAATCTAATCAGGTTGTGTAGCCTAAGAATGAAATTGAGCAGACTGAGCTGATTTTCTTGTGCTAATCTCAGTTTCTTTTGTGGAAGTTTTACATGTTATGCAAGCGATATTGATTAAGAAAACATTGTAACATGGATTTTTCTGTCTTTACACGGATGGATCAGAAGGGTTCTCTCTCAGGGGCGCTTCCCTGAAATGCAGACTGGCCCCAGATTCCACTGCCACCACCTGGCTGTGCACTCTGCCCCTTCACTGGAGAGGAAATCAAATTATTCTGTGTGACCACAGCTTTAAACTCGCTGTGTTAAAATAAAATACTTACAGAAAATGGAACTGCTGACTGCAGTGCACGTTCCCGGGGGCAGCTGCTGAGGGGTGATGTGTTAGGATACAGTTTAATAAATGGAATATTCCTTAACCTTGTGGAATATCAGGATGTCAGCACCACCTAGGGGTCACACTCCAGCTTTAAAAATCAAGTCTAGTACTAATTTGCTTTTAAAGTGTATTTCATGCTTAAAAACTGATCTGGAGACTCCAGTTGTTAAGTCACTGGGCTGTTCCACGTTGGGTTTTTTTTTGGTTTTTTTTTGGTTATTTTCGCTAATATTTTTTTAGGTTTTATAGTAAGTATTATAATGGATGGAGAAATTAGAGTGCAACTAAAATGGACACTCTAAAGGTGTGGAAGAGAAATATTACTGTCTTTTGAACAATTCCATTTTAAATAGAGGTGAGTGGGAAGAAATGAAAGATGGAGAAATACTGGATAGGGAATTTCAGTCTAAAAGTTGAAATGAAAGCAGTGAAGCTCTCTGTGCCATGTGTAGCTTTACCTTTTAAGTTTCATTTAATGTCTTAATAGTCATCTGAACTTTGCAGAACAGCCTTCAAATCATTTGATGCTCCAAGCCAGTGAGCTGTTAAAGCCCTGCTGAGGTGAGGTGAAATAGTGAAATACTGAATGCAGCTCTCTGGAGAACTGAAACCTGAATCCTGCCCTGGGAGTTGTTTCTGCCTGGATTTTTCGCTTGAGATTTTCGGTGCAACCTCTGAGGAAAAGAAACTGGTGCTCATTTGTGAAGGCACAACTAATGGCCTAGCAGTTGTTGAACGCTGCCCTTCAAAGTGTCACTTTTGACACTGTCATTAGGGATTTGCATTTCAAACGAGGGGAATTTTGCATATCAGGATGCGCAGCGAACGCATCCTGCAAGAATTTAAACCACTCTGCATTCGGGACACTTGAGTCACCTCTGCTCTCAAGGGATACTGATAAAAAACCCCCCTGGGGAAGAAAAGGTGACGCGGATTTTTCTGTCTTTACACGGATGGATCAGAAGGCTTCTCTGAAATCCAGCCTGGCCCCCAGATTCCACTGTCCCACCTGGCTGCGCACTGCCCCTTCAGAGGGGTGGCATTTCCTGGGACTCTGGGTATTTTTTTCCTATAAATGACCAAGTTCCAGGGCTGTTTGACAGCCTGCAGTGTCCTACGTGCGCTGCTGCTGGTAGCTCTGCCCTCCGCCAGGGAGGAAATGCCACCTGACCGCAAAGACACGCTCGCTGCCGATCAGCAATTGTTCCTTGGGGCAGGGCGCTTGGCTCCGGGTCAGCCTTTACAAAAGACACCCCGATGGTTCGTTTCGTTTGTAAATTATGCCAGCAGTTAATGCTTGTCGAGCACCAGGGCTAGATTATATCAGGGAAAGAACGTGGAGGTTTCAATTCCCTGGTTTGAAGCCATTCTCTTTCAAAGCAGTGGCTTTTTTTTTTTTTTCTGTATGCAGCAATGGATGTAGTTTTTACAACGGTTTTGCTTCTTCTTTATGTTTTTGTAACATTTCTCTTGTTATGTTAAAGTGGAGAAATCCTGGGTTTTTGGGAGGTGGGAGTAGCGTTGTTACAATTTTTCCCCCGAAAATCTGAGAGGAAGCCATTAAGGCATGCAGCAAAATAATGATAATAATGATAATAATGAAGCAAACAGAATAAAGCTGGGAAAAGTTTCTGCCAAGTCCAAGATGTTGGAGTTTGCTCAGACTATCAGCATTCCAAACTTCCCAAAGCTCCTTCATCCTCTTTTCTGGCTAGGACCCTTCAATACTCAGACTTTACCCTTTTTTCTCTGGCCAAGTGTGCCCTTTTTTCATCCTTTTCTTGCTCCCCCCTTTCCGTGTGTGCCCAGGTGCTCCCAGGCTCACATTGCAGGGCAGGGCAAGCTGGCACAGCACCCCTGGATCCCTGACAGCAGTGCCCACACTTCCATCCCTCCGGGGGAATTTCTGCTGTGTGATCTCTAGGTGGAGCCTCCTATCAGCCAGTTCCGTGTGAAAAGTAGGAAATATTTTACCTCTGAGACTCGGGAGCGTGTTTTTCAGACCACGTTTTTGGCCTTTCTGGTGTTAATGTCTGCTGTTCTGTATCAGGTGGAGGAGAAATAATAATTGCTGTTTGTGCAGCACCTCTCAGGTCTAAGGCACTTCTGCACAGATCAGGTAGACAATTAACAAATCTATTTTTCAGTGAGCTAATTTATTAACCTCCCCAAGACTTAGCTCGGTTATTCTGGAAAGCAAGATGTTTATATTCAGATTTTGTGCACCTACATAACAACTATAAAATTAATATCGTAAAATATTGTGTTTTAATACTCAATAGAAGATTTACATTCTTACCAAGAAGAGTTTGGAGCTGATAGTGCTGCCTGATGTGTTAAAAATACAATTGTACACCTTTGCTCTCTAGAACAACCACTATCAAAGGTGAAGATAAAAAGAGACACAACCTTCCATGGAGAGAGGATGGCAGAACCTGGAGCTTTCCCACTCTGGGTAGTTTTATCCTGCCTGTGGAGATAAGGCTGCAGTGGCTTTGAGCTGTAAATTTCCTGACCACAGCAATGTGAGAGGAGAGCAGAGAGCCTTTCTCGGCTGGGGAGGGTGAAACCCCACAATAATTCCCTTATCTTGAATATTTTGTTCCTGCTTCCAAATAGGAGTTTCTGAGATCTTTCCTGAACCCCACAAGGGGTTTTTTTTTGGTGTTTTTTTTGTTTGTTTGTTTGTTTTTGTTTTTATAGAAATGGTTTGGGTTTTTTTTGTTTGGTGGGGGTTGTTGTTTGTTTCTTTCTTTCCTGCTAAAAGCTCATCAGCTTTCGGTAAAGACTTATCTTTAAAAGGCACAAAACCCAAACCAAACAAAAAAAAATCCACAAAGCTGTCGATAAGCAATGGATAATTAATTACTTGGAAACATTTTGCCATGATATCTATCCATATATACATACATGGATATATGTATCCCCCATATATATAGGGGGGTGTATATATATGTATACATATGTACATACATTTAAAAGATTTTTAACTTGTTAATATTTTTGAGCTTTTTCTTAAGACTTGTTAACACAAATGATTTTCATATTAAGACAATTTTCTATGAATTGTTCGATTTTACTGCTTGGATCACTTCTGAAATCAGGGGATTCTCCTGGAATCTCTTTTCTTGCTGAGTACAGAAGTTACTGGAAAACTGCAGATATAACTGGGAACACTGGAACTTTAACTGGGAACACTGGATTATACTTGGTTTCCAAGCTTCAGGTACTAACCAACAGTTTAATAAGTTTTGCACACAGTTTGATAAGTTTTTATGGTGTTCCCTGGAACAACTGGAATTCTGGTGCTTGCAAAGCTCAAATGGGTCGTTGCTAAATTTTTCTTAGGAGAAAATATTTTTGATTATGTTGTGTTAATGTAGTTGCTGACAAGTTCAACTCCTTGGTTGCAGCTCATCGAACAGTTAACAGCATTTCCTCTCACCTAATGGGTTGTAAAGTTCATTAGCTGCTTGGTTATCGGCGCCTGATAAAGGTACACTGAAATAATTATAGATTGAGAGTCAGTTCAAAAGTTTAATCGGCTTGTAATTAAAAAAAAAAAAAATTGGCTTTGCTTAATTTCCAGCTCTGTTAAACCGTTCCCTCTCAGCTTTGGCAGGGATGCCCTGTCCCTCGGAGGGCACTTGGTTGTAATTAAACCTCCTTGTACGTGCCCGAAGAGCAGATGGCAGAGAGGCCGCTGTCCATAGGTTCTGGCCGGTGCCCAGCTGCCGGATAAATGGGATCAGCCTGCCTGAGATAGTGGAAAACTCCTTTTTTCTTTTTCTTTTTTTCCTATTATTATTTCGGTTGATTAACCTTCTGCTAATTGCTGGTATCCCCCTCGTCCTGCGGCACTGAGAGTGTCGGGCGAAGCGCGGGGCCGAGCAGAAAGAGCAGAAGGCTCGGGAGCATCCTTCCTCCCATCCCTTCCTCCCATCCCTTCCTCCCATCCCTTCCTCCCATCCCTTCCTCCCATCCCCGGGGTACCGGCCAGCGCCTCCCGCGCCCTTCCCAGCCGGGGGTCTCACGGGAATACCGACCATTCCCGGCGGGGAGTGGATATTGCTATCAACTACCTGATATTTGCGTACATTTCCATAGAATGGATTCATCCCTTCACTCCTTCCACCGACCCCGCGCTCCCCCCATCCCCTTATCAGCCGGAAGCTTTATCGGCGCTTACTTCGGATTGTTTTCCTGTAATTCCCGAGGTGGGGAAGCGTTCACATCCCCCTCCCCCGGTTCGCAGGAGCGCCTTATCAGCCTTTCCCCGGATCTTCATCATTGCCGGCCGCGATTTCGGTGCTTTCACCGCCCAGATTCCCCGCAGCGCCGGACCTCCGGCTGTCCCGGGGGTGGATGTCTCTGTCCCGGGGGTGATGTCTCTGTCCCGGGGGTGATGTCTCTGTCCCGGGGGTGATGTCTCTGTCCCGGGGGGATCTCTCTGTCTTGGGGGATCTCTCTGTCCCGGGGGTGATGTCTCTATCCCGAGGGGGATGTCGCTGTCTGACATGTTAAAAAAAAACAATTCTACGCCTTTCCTCTCTAGAACAACCACTATTAAAGGTGGAGATACAAAGAGACACAACCTTCCATGGAGAGAGGATGACAGAACCTCGAGCTTTCCCACTGTGGGTAGTTTTTCCCCTCGGAGTGTCTCTGTCCGAGGGGGATGTCGCTGTCCCGGGGGGATATTGCTGTCCTGGGGGGGATATCTCTGTCCCGAGGGAATGTCTCCGTCCCGGGGGGCTGCCGCTGTTTCGGGGGTATATTGCTGTCCTGGGGGGGGGGGGGGGGGGGGGCTGTCTTTGTCCCGGGGTGGTGTCTCTGTCCTGAGGAAATATCTCTGTCCCGGGGGGGCTGTCTCTGTCCCGGGGGGGTGTCTCTATCCCGGGGGGCTGTCTCTGTCCCGGGGGGGCTGTCTCCTGTCTCTGTCCCGGGGGGCTGTCGCTGTCCCGGGGAGGGTGTCTCTGTCCCGGGGGGGTGTCTCTGTCCCGGGGGGATATCTCTGTCCCGGGGGGGCTGTCTCCTGTCTCTGTCCCGAGGGATGTCGCTGTCCCCGGGAGGGTGTCTCTGTCCCGGGGAGGGTGTCTCTGTCCCGGGGAGGGTGTCTCTGTCCCGGGGGGATATCTCTGTCCCGGGGGGATATCGCTGTCCCGGGGTGGTGTCTCTGTCCCGAGGGATGTCGCTGTCCGGGGGGGCGGTGTGGGGGTGTCCCATCCCGGGGGGGGCCGTGCCCGCGGTCCGGTCCCGCCCCGCCGCCTCTCCCTTAAAGCGGCCGCCCGGCCCCCGGCGCTCTCACCGCGCTCGCCGCCCCGGAGCCGCCGCGATGCCGCTGCTGCGGGGCTGGACGCTGCTGCTGGCGGCCCTGCTGCCCTCGGCGCTGCCGTCGCTGCTGGCCGCGGTGCCGCCCGCCTGCCCCGAGCGCTGCGATCGCTCTCGCTGCCCGGCGCTGCCCGCAGCCTGTCCCGGCGGGCCCGTGCCCGACGCCTGCGGCTGCTGCCGCGTGTGCGGGGCCGAGGAGGGCGAGGCGTGCGGGGGCGCGGGGCCGCCCTGCGGAGAGGGGCTGCAGTGCGTGCTGCCGCCCGGAGCCGTGCCCGCCTCGGCCACCGTGCGCAAGCGGGCGGCCGCGGGGCGCTGCCAGTGCACCAGCAGCGAGCCCGTGTGCGGCAGCGATGCGGTCACCTACGCCAGCCACTGCCAGCTGCGGGCCGCCAGCCGCCGGGCGGAGCGCCTCCGGCAGCCGCCCATCATCGCCATCCAGCGCGGAGCCTGCGGGCAGGGTGAGGATGCGCGGGGGGATGCGCGGGGGAGGACCCGGAGTGCGGGGGATGCGCGGAGGTTCGGCCCCGGCATCCTCATGCCCGGCTGGGATGCGGTTCCCCAGGAGGAGCCGGAGATGGGGCTCGGCCGCGGCTCAGCCCGGCCGCTCCAGCTCAGCGAGAAACCGGTTTGGCAGCGGCTGCCAAGTGCCGGGGGGTGATAAACGCCGTACCCGATTTAAACTTGTCTCCCACCCCGAGGGGTGATGCCCGGCCCGAAACTGGGGGAAACAAAGCCTGAGCAGCGGGTACGGCTGCGGAGCCCAGCAAAGTTCGGAGGAATAAGTCGAGCGCGCTCCCGTCCCGGCGCTTTGTCACAGGGAAATGCCCCGGGGAATAAGGGCAGGAATGCAGGAGCCGCTCGGATGTGATGGAGCAAAGGGGTGGGCAGAGCAGGCTGCTGCCTGCCTTGGCCCGGCTTAGCAGACGCGCTCTGATTAATAAAAGACTTGCTGGACAGGGAGAAGCCTGTTAACAGCGTGTTAAGCTCAGCCTAGAGTTTTGTGTTTGTTTTTATTGGGGTTTTTTGAGGATGGAGATGGACGCCGATAAGTAACAACGCGTGGCGTTTCTCCTTCAGCATTCTTTAGCAGTCAGACCCAATGTAATGTGAGTGAGTACTCAGTGCAGGACAGATACAAATTACTTGTAAAAGGTGTAAAGAGGCATGGCCGGGTTAGGAAACGGTGTCGGAGCAGCCCGGAGAAGTGTTCGGTGCGGCAGGAGCGGTGGGTGCAGGATGTGACACCGAGCGGGGCAAAGCCGAGCTGGGATAAGCAGGGGATGATCGTCACAAGATGCAGCCCCTAATACGGGCTGGATTAAACCCCCTAAGCCGAGGCTCTGTATCCCTTCCAAGCCGTTCAGCACCATTAGGGAGTAACGTGTAAAAATTAGCATGAATTAAGCCTTTATTTCTAGAGTAGTAGTCACTTTTTAGTAAGTCAGCGCTGTTTTAGTGAGCATTAATTATTTTGGTATAAGTCGTATAATTTCTGGACGTCCTTTTCTTTCAAACACATCTTTTTCTACACTTGGCCATCATCTCTTCAACAGAAAAACATCCTGAGGTATAGAGGCTGTGTGTTCAGCCTACAGATCAGGCTCACAGCTCTGGTGTCAACACAATCAATTTTTTGTACCCCTGGTTGTCCCCTCGGTGTCAGAGCTGTGTTGTGGCACGTTGCTGACATTTGCTGTCGCTGGAGACAATCAAACTTTTCACCCCACAGTTTCCTGATGCCCAGTGTAAGACAATGCCTTGTGATTTTTATTCTCGATTCATGAAACCAATATTGTTTTCCCAGCCTTTTTTGCTGAACGTTTGCAGAATTGGGGCTGTGTTTGAGCTGGGAGCAATACGTGCCTCTGGTGGGGGGTACAGAAAATGCACGGGCTGCACAGAGTCCCTGTCTGGGAAAGCTCTGCTGTTGTGGATCCATCAGGAGCAATTCCAGACAATCATTTTGCCCTGTTGCACCTCTGGAACAAAAAGAAAGTGCTGGAGAAGCCAACCAGCAGCACATGTTTATCCCTGGATGAGAGCAAACATTGCTACCAGCAAAGCTTTTTTTTCATATGTAGAGAACCTGAGATAAAAAGGGATGGAGAGTCGGCTGTAAAGTGCTTGAATTGATGTTTTGAAAAAGCATTACCTAATATTTGGCTCCTTTATTTAGTTAATTTTTAATTTTATTTTGGGTTCATCATCAGGAGTGCTTTTTCTACCTAAGGACTGAGTTATCTCAAGCCATTTTTTTCATAGTAACACACCCACGTAAATAATTCGGTCAATACGATGCAAAAGCCTTGGGAAGCAAAGGAATGAGAACATAGAGAAAGTGTTTGTAAAGGGCTTTTTGTTGTTGTTTTTAAACTTCACACTATTTCAGTAGCTGGTCAAGTACAGTGCTGTGTATATTGCTTAAAGTAAAACTTCCTGTCATTTTCAATTTTCATCTCCTACAGTCTGCTCCCAGTGCTGATCTGTGATTCCCAGGGAATCTCTTCGAATACCAGCAGTGTTTAGAGGGAAGCAGTAGAGGCAGGAGCAGGTTGCTGTGGGCCTGTGTGCAGAAGGGGGATGATTCCCTGTGCAAAATGAGCCTTAAAAACCTCCAGCCCTTCCCAGCAGTGTCCAGCTGTGCTGTGGCAGCATAACCAGTGTTCCACCCCTCCTGCTGTGCCCCAGCCTGGGCAGGGCTCCTGAGCTGCAGCTGCCACTAAAGAAATCTTCCCTCCCCATCAGAGGATGCTCAGGCCTGCAGAGCCTGTGCTGCTGCAGCTCTGTGTGTGCTGATACCAAATGCAAAATACAAAATTCCCTCTCCATCAGAGGATGCTCAGGCTGCAGAGCCCGTGCTGCTGCAGCTCTGTGTGTGCTGATACCAAATACAAAATACACAATTCCCTCTCCATCAGAGGATGCTCAGGCCTGCAGAGCCCGTGCTGCTGCAGCTCTGTGTGTGCTGATACCAAATACAAAATACACAATTCCCTCTCCATCAGAGGGTGCTCAGGCCTGCAGAGCCCGTGCTGCTGCAGCTCTGTGTGTGCTGATACCAAACACAGAGGCACAGAGAGAGGTGAATGTCCCCTGGGCAGAAGCTGTGGCTGTTCTCAGAGCATCCCACGCCCAGGAGCGAGGTCACTGCCACGAGACCTCGATGTTCAGTGGTGAGGTTCAGCATGCTGGGAGGATGTTTTCTTTTTCTTCTGCAAATATGTTTTTGGTGGCCTTAAATCCCTCCTGCTGACCAAGGGAAGAGGGCTCAGCACACAACTTCAGCCAGGCTTTATTCCCTTCCTCGTTTTTCCCACAAGTGCTGGCAGGCGTTTTGGGACAGTGTGCCCTCCTCTCCACACTGTAAAATAGAAACTAACCTGGATTTGTCCTTTCCTCATTAACCCAAGGAAGGAGAACATTCCTTGTGGTTGCTCTCCATTTCTAACTACTTTCTGCCTGGTTTTATATGTTTTCATATTTTCATTTGGTTTGCCATGTCTAATGTGGTATCTCAGTGAGCTCAGCAGCCCTCAGCTCGCTGGCATCTGTCACAGGTGGCTCTGACATCTGCCCCAGGCGTGCTCTCACCATGATGTCACATCTGGGGTTTGATGGGAGCTCTCATGGCTTGCATTGAGCAGGACATTGCAGCTGGACTGCCTGGGGAGAAGGCAGAGGTGAGGGGTTGCTCAGTCTAGAAAGCTGTGTACCACTGAGACACAGGCTTTGCTACTCCATCACCTGATTTCACATTCTACAGACAGCGAAGGGAAGGCAAAAAAAAATTAAATCACTCAGTTTCTTGTGAAGTGCCTGACTTTGTGTTTTGAAATGCACCAGGCATCCAAGTGTCTCAGTGTCATTATCTGGCAGGAGAAAAGGACCTCTGTGGTCAATAACCCATTTGTCATTAGCTGAGTCCTTCTAGAGCAGCCTAAGAGTGAGCTGAGGGCACAGGGGATGGGCAGGAGAGGGCCCTGCCTGAGTCCCTGTGCCTGAATCCCTGTGCCTGAGTCCCTGTGCCTGAATCCCTGTGCCTGAATCCCTGAGCCTGAATCCCTGTGCCTGAATCCCTGTGCCTGAATCCCTGTGCCTGAATCCCTGTGCCTGGCACTGCTCAGCCTGGCAGGAAGGGATGGATAACCAGGGCAGGGAGAGAAACTCAGCTGGGAAACCTGTGAAGGTTGGGAGCCCTGCCAGATATTTATCAAGAGGGAAGCTGATACTGTTGTTATGAACAAGGCTTTCAGCTGCTTCCCTGAAGATAATAACAGGCGCTGGGTGGTGGTTTTATTATTGTTATTTGTGTGCTGAAGAAGTGTTGGGAGACTTTGGCAGGTTACTTGGCACGTGCCAAGTCTATTAAAAATGACCCAGGAGGAGCAGGATTTTGGGGTCTGAGCGCACAAATGGCCATTCCAGTGCTGCTAAATGTCATCTCCTCCCTCAGCTGCTGTTTGGGTGGTCTGAACACCATTCTTTTCCAACTTCTCCTCAGTCTATTTTGCAGCAACAGGAGAAGGGAGGGAAGGAGGGAGGGAATGAAGAGGCAGCTGAAGGCAGTGGAAATAAATAGCAACATCTTTCCAGAAGAGAACCAATTCCCAAGTGTGGGATTAAAAAGCTTTTCCAAAGCCAAGTATTCGGCTCGGAGAGGAGGCAACTGTAAGAAGTGGTTTGTCAGAAGCAGCTCACCTTTTCTCCTCTCCACATCCAGATTGCCTTCCTGGGGAGCAGGCAGTAATTTTGCAGTCTCCAGACTTCAAACAGTCAAGTCAGTAAACACAGATTTGGAACAAGGAAAGATTCAATCCTTTCATCTTCTGGGCTTTGAAATGTAAAGGTACCTGTGGACTGGGCAGGAATACTTGAGGCCATGAGTAAGCAGCAGGAGTGTTGCTAGGGTGTGAGGGAGGCAGCAGATCCTGAGCAGCTCTCGGCCTCTGCCGTCCAAGAAATAGGAGAAGCTGGAAAATATTTTTCAAATGGGAATTTACGTGTGCTTGGAGTGAAAGGAAGCAACGTCAGAAATAGAAACTGGGGTTCTGTGGAACTTGTGCTGTAATAAATGCAGCCATTCCTCACTCCCAGGAGCTGCTGGGGCCTCCAGGATCCCTGGCTGGACTTGGCACTGAGTCCCACTGCCTTTGTAGCTGGGCCCAAGTGAATACCTGACATTATTTTGGAGGCTGTGTTCAGGATGTAGAATAAAAGTCTTTATTTTGCCTTCTGGATGCAGGTCATTGTAATTCTCAAATTGTTTATCCTGCTTCAAAGAGAAGAATATAACTAAAAAATAAGCCTCCACTCCCTTATATCAAAGGGCTGTACAATAATTGATCTTTTACTAATGGATGTTGACCTTATATCTGTAGGTAACAGGGGAGTTATAATATCTTAAGCTTGTGAGACAGGACACAGGTGAGTAGTTATTTTAGAGTTTAATGAACTGGGG